TTTTTTTTTTTTTTTTTTTGGCTGGAAAACAAGTTCTGTGAAATCGGATTATTTCATTTACAAGAGGAGTTATAGAAAAAAAAATTCAAAAGTGATTTCAACCTGTTCAGCACCTTTTCTAAAACCCAAAATGAGTTTGCAGCTGAACTAATTGCTGGTTTTGTCAAAGATTTGGGGTCATTTTTTTGTTAGAAATAATTTATTTTTTTTTAGAATCTCCTTGATTATGTTCTGACTCGAGTAGCCCAACAAAGCAGAGAACTTTTTGCATCATTCTGGATCATTCTGGATCATCACAGAACACGGTTTTTATGAAAAAAAAAACAAAAAAAACAAAAAAAACCTTGGTTTCCACGGAGCAAGGCCTATGATTTCCAATTATTTTGGCTTCATCTATCCCAGATTATTCTAATTATTATCGAGCTGGGCAAGCTCTGCTCCAATCCCAACCGTGGTGGGATAATTTGAGGACAATCTGGGGATTAGAATTGTTTAAGAGCAGAGCACAAATGGATTTTTCCCGCCCGATAAAACCAAATTTCAGCTTTGCAGCTGCTCCAAAATGAGACCAAGAGGTTCAGGGAGGGATCAGCACCCACCCACGCTGGTTTTTAATTCCTAAATCCCATTCCTGAAGGGCACCAGCATCCCCCCCAAAAAATTAAATTTAAAAAAATAAATAAATAAATAAAAGCACGGCGATTTTTTCTCAGCTGCTCAGGCTTTGGGATGTGCCGCTTTGGAAAAGCCAACGTGTCCTCGGTAAGGCAGGAAATTCCAAAAGCTCTTTTGATCCAGGGATGGAGCCGGGAAATTGGATTTAACCCTTCGCACGAATTCTGCCCCACACTTCTCCTGAGGGAAGGGCGGCATGGAACCGGGAATCCTCTTCTATGGGGAAAGGGAGCCACAAACCCTTTTCTTTTTTGGGGAAAGGAGCCTGGAACCCTTTTCTTTTCTGGGGAAGGGAGCCAAGAACCCTTTTCTTCTTAGGAAAAGGAGCCAGGAACCCTTTTCTTCTTTAGGACAGGCAGCCAAGAACCCTTTTCTTCTTTGGGGAAAGGAGCTGGGAACCCTTTTCTTCTTTAGGGAAGGGAGCCTGGAACCCTTTTCTCCTTAAGGAACGGCAGGATGGAGCCTGGAACCTTCTCCTCCTTAAGGAACCCTTTTCTCCTTAGGGAAGGGAGATGGGAACCCTCTTCTCCTTAAGGAAGGGAGCCAGGAACCCTTTTCTCCATAAGGAAGGGCGGGATGGAACCGGGAACGTTCTCCTTAAGGAATGGAGCCAAGAGCCCTTTTCTCCTTAGACAAGGGAGACGGGAACCCTTTTCTCCTTAAGGAAGAGCAGGATGGAGCTGGGAATCCTCTTCTCCTTAAGGAAGGGAGCAAGGAGCCCTTTTCTCTCCTTAGGTAGGGAGCCAGGAACCCATTTCTCCTTAGGGAAGGGCGGGATGGAGCTGGGTACCTCCTCCTAAAGGAAAGGAGCCGAGAACCCTTTTCTCCTTATGGAAGGGCAGGATGGAGCCGGTAACCCTTTTCTACTTATGGAAGGGCGGGATGGAGCCGGTCGCCATCCCCTCTCCTCATGGAAGAGCGGGATGGAGCCGGGAATCCCCTCCCTCTTCCAGAGAAGGGCAGGATGGAGCCGATCGCCTTTCCCTCCCTCATGAAGAGCGGCATGGAGCCGATCGCATTCTCCTCCTCAAGAGGAGCAGCATGGAGCCGATCGCCT